GTGAACATGAGGTCAAGTTTTGTTTACTAAATGTACAGGGACTCACAGGGAAAACATACAATAAACTAGACTCCAGTGAAATGAAACATTTATTCGAAAATAATGATATTGTTCTTTTAACGGAGACATGGTCAAATGATCTTTTTAACTATGAAGTTACAAACTTTGATTATTATATTTTACATAGAAAATTAAAATCTAAATGTGCAAAAAGAGACAGTGGTGGTTTAATAATATATGTTCATCATAAACTAAAACAGTATGTTGAACTTGTTAAATTTTCAGATGACTGTTTGATATGGATGAAATTTAGTAAATCATTGTTTAATTTTGAAAATGATTTATTTGTGTGTTTGACTTATAACACCCCAAAGGGTATTAGTAGGGAAAATATTGGTGATCAATCTATATTTGAAATTTTACTTGATGACATGTTGAATTTTGAAAATATGTACAATAATAAATGTAATTTTATTTTAACTGGAGATTACAATGCTAGAGTTGGGGAAAGATTAGATTATGTTGAAGAATCTTACCATATTTTACATGATTTTTTACCAGAAGATTATATACAAGATGAAATTTTGCCTAGGAAAAGTCTAGATAAAACTGTGAATGAATATGGAAAATTACTGTTAGAGTTTTGTAAAGCTTCTGGGGTTAGAATATTAAATGGCAGATGTTGTGAAGATAATAATGTGGGTAAATATACATGCATTAATACACAAGGCCCGCGTGTAATAGACTATGTTTTATGTAGATCAGATTTGATACAATTTATTTCACACTTTGAAGTGAGTGACCCAAATATTTTGTCTGATAATTGCTGTGTGCACTTTAATCTAAAATCTTGTTAAATATCTGAAAATGAAGATAAAACTGAAACTGATAATTCAAATATACCTTACACTTATAAATGGGAAAACAGTAAAAGGAATTGTATATTAGTAGTTTAGGTAGTAATAGTGTTATGAATGAATTTGTAAATGTATGTCAAACTGTTGATGATGCTGTAAGTAGCCATGAAATAGATCAATCTTTGACAAATTTCTGTAATACATGTAATATATTAGAAAATGTATGTAATCCATTATTTAAAAGAAATGTTACAAATAACATTAGTTCTAACATAAGAAAAAATAATGTATATTATGATAATGATTGTAAAGATCTAAAAAAACATATTGTAGATGTCTGAATATTTGGAGAAATAATAAATGTGATGAAACAAGGGCAGAAATGGTACAAGCTCATATTAATTATAAAAATACTTTTAGGAAAAATAAATTTATTTATGATAAGGAACAAACACACAGATTAGAAAATGCTAGACTTTGTAATGCTAGGTTATTATTATATACTGGAAAATGTTAAAAAGGCACTGTTTTTTGAAAATAATAAATGTTAGATACCACAGATGATTTTCAAAGATATTTTAAATCTGTAAATGATCCTGAGTCTGTATTTTATTAAGCTGATGAAGATGTCTTATATTTTAATGATAGATACTTATACATGTATATTATAAATGAAGAATTAAATGTCATGTTCTCGGAACTTAATATTCCTTTCACTGGTACTGAAGTTTTTAATGCTTGCAAACAGTTAAATGCTGGTAAATCAGCTGGGCAGGATTATTTAGTTAAATGAGTTTTTTAAGTTTGCATCTGATTTTGAACACTTTACAGGTTATAGTTTCTTTGTTTAATAAAATGTTTGATATAGGTTACTTCCCATCAAGTTAGTACCTATTTATAAAAAAGAGGATATAGATAACCCTAATAACTTTAGAGGTATTACTCTTCTTAGCATTTTTGGGTAACTTTTTACCAAAGTAATAAATGAACGTTTAAATATGTGTATATAGAACCCAAGCTGGTTTCAGAAAAAACATGAGCACTATTGATAATGTTTTTATATTACATGGTATTATAACACATTTATTAGATAATAGTAAAACATTGTATGCTGTTTTTGTAGATTTCACTAAAGCTTTTGATTATTTGGTATAAATTAATTCAATTTGGAGTGAGAGGTAAAATGTTAGATATTATTAGGTCCATGTATGAGAATGTAAGATCAAGAGTAAAATACAATAATACTATTAGTGAAGAGTTTGTATGTTACTTGGGAGTAAGACAAGGCGAATCCCTTTCGCCGTTTTTATTTTCTATGTATTTAAATGATATAGAAGAATATTTTATGTTAAATGGTTTTGAAGGTATTTTAAAGATATTTTTATTATTGTATGCAGATGATATAGTGATTATGTCTGAAACAGAGGAGGGCTTACAGAAAGGATTAAGATTATTAGAAATATATTGTGATAGGTGGAAATTAAGTGTTAACTGTACAAAGACAAAGGTTTTGATTTTTAAAAAAGGGGGTAGACTAAGACAGAATTTGAATTTCTATTATAAAGGTCAGTCAATTGAAACAGTTAAAAGGTTTACATATCTAGGCATTGTTTTTTCTGTTGGTGGATCTTTTAATATGACTTTTGAAACACTCTCTGGACAAGCATTGAAGGCGTTATATAAGCATGAAAAAGAGCTGATAAGATTCCCTTGTATGTCAGTTAAACATAAACTGGATTTATTTGATAAACTTATTTTACCAATTCTCAACTATGGATCACAAATATGGGGTTTACTTGATAGTCATGTATTAGAAAATATTCATTTAAAGTATTGTAAGAAGTTTTTAGGAGTTAAAAGACAAACACAAAACAATTTTATCTATGGTGAACTTGGAAGGACATCTTTAAAAACAATGAGAGCTATTAATGTTATAAAATACTGGTTAAAAGTTGTTCAGTTAAGTAGTACAAAATATGTCAAAGTTGCATATGATCTTATGTGTAGAGATTTAGAACTTAAACCGAATTCAATGTCCTGGGCTAAATCTGTTATGATTTTGTTACAATCATTAGGTTTCAATGAAGTATGGATTAATCAGGGCGTTGGTGATATAAATTTATTTTTAGCAGTAGTAAAACAAAGATTAACAGATACATTTATACAAAATTGGTATGCAACTTTAAGAGATTCATCAAGAGCAAGAAGTTATGTATTTTTTTGTGATTTTGGTTTTAAATCATATCTGTCAATGGTTAATATTGAAAAATTTAGGAAATCTCAATCACGTTTCAGGATTTCTTCGCATAGATTAAAAGTAGAAACTGGTAGATGGCATAAACCTGAAGCAATTCCTTATAATGAAAGAAAATGTAATATTTGCCTAAAACTAGAAGATGAATTTCATGTATTATTAAAATGTCCACAATACAATGTTTTGAGAAAACAGCTCATAGATAAATATTATTGGAAAAAACCAAATATACCAAAATTTATTGAATTGTTAACATCTGAAAATGAAAATCTTATAAGAAAATTATCAATGTTTATCGTTAAAATGTTTGAATTAAGAACAAATGTTGAATATTCGTAAATTATAGTACCTAGGAAGGTAAATGTAATGTTACTTAATTAATATCATTATGCAAAACTTGTGCTTCATTTAAACCTTGCTGTAACATGTTATTCTGTTCATATTAAAGCAAACTTATGACTCAAATATACAGTAAATGTTAAATATATGTTATATATGTTTAATGACCTTGATATTATGTTTCTGTATGTATTTATGTTTGTATGTATGCTGTGTGCTCATGAGTATAATACCCACATGTATTTGGAATAAAATCTTGAAATCTTGAAATCTTTGATTTGCATTTATTTAAAGAATGTTACGATCACACTGTCCCTGAATTGCCAGTAATGTATCTTTTTAGATGTTGCAGTATCAGATTATGCTACCGAATATGATATGTTTCAGGGCTTTTCGTTTATTTAAAAAAAGTCAAAAAAGCATGCACCAAGAAATTTAAACATTTTAATAATACATAAAATGTTCAAATAATTGTGGGGTATAACTTCTTAGCTATCGGTAATATCTAATTAATTTTATTTATTAAATTTAAAAATTTATTTATTTATGCAATGCTTCGTTTTTTGGCCCATGGTAGGAGCTGTTATTATTAGCAGTTAATGGCATATTCTATATAGTCTCACTGTTTATTTATTTTTGTTAATTCTGCATTGTTTAGTTATACGAGTATATACTGTTTTTACAGGCTATAAAATAACTTTCTTATGATATTTATATTGTTAATAAAATTAATAAAATAACCTGTGGTAAAAATGAAAGGTAGAAAATTAAAGATATTTGTATAGGTGCTCATGTCCATGTACCATTGAAACAGAGAAAGGATAACATCCTTAAGTTATCAATTTTAAACATTTGATGTATATGCAGTTAGTTGTTACAGTAAAGTCTAATAGAAGATTGATAGAGGAACAGAATTAGCTACTAAAAGAGATATGCATTCGATGCTAATATACATCTCAATGTTTATTATATTTATTATATAATATAGACTTTTTGAGATTTTTTACTATACATTATTGTTTTCTTCTACTAGATTTGAATTCCAGCCAAGTACTAATGTAAATAGGATTTTATTTTTATTAATTTATAGATACTTGGAATTATTACTGTTCTGTGCATACATGCATATCTTAGTATGACTGAATAATATTTCTGTACTTAAAGAGTTAAGTAATGCCATTATTATTAAAGGGATAAGACTTCCATTTAAGTTTATAAATGATAATACATGTATTGATAAGTCTACAGGTTAAAGGTTTATACCCAGTGTTAGCTTGCTAATAATTTTATTTATTATAGAGTTAAAGGAATATTATAAAGGGTGACTTAACCTGGACGTTGTGGTTATATGTTAAACTTTAGAAGAACTTTTTACTTACTGTATTATTCAAAATATTTCATTTTCTTAACATCTTTTCTTATTTTTTTTGTAATGGAGGAACACCGGTCTCAATCTCATGAGCCAACCCGACTACATAGTTTTCATAGAGTAGATTGCTGCTTGCACTTGAGTAAATTTGTGCTCTAAATCTTGTAACAACTTACATCTATCAGTAATAAATGTTTAATAAACATCATAATTATATAACAGTAAATCCCACAAATATCACATTGACACCACTTATCTAAATTATCACATTGACTATAGTAAAACGCTAACATTTAGCGTGTCTAAACGCTATGTTTATATAACGCAAATGACGTCAGTCAAAATATAAGAAAGTCGTTTGGTGCACATGTACCAAAACGTCCAATATGAAAATGATATTTTTTTTGGATCTAATACGGGAATATATTTGACGGTCACGAGGTACAAATGCAGATTGTCGATTGGTTAGATTTATTAGATATATAATAATGTAGAATATTTTAAACAAAAATATTATGATGTTAAGTTTATCAACAAGTAAGTTTAAAGATCTTATGACATATATATCCTTACTTATCATGTTAGAATAGTTCTACAAAGGTTAAATGCGATATCGCATTTAATTTGCACATCTCGTTTAAATACACTAGGAAATATTCAATAAAACTAAAGGTAAGCAAATAAGTATTTACACAAGAAGCAACCTGTACTATAAGCACACCAAAATAGCTAAATTAAATCAAATAACAACTCACACTGACACTCACAATAATATATGTTGATAACAGATTTGTAGAAGTATCTTAAGGGTATATATTATCATGTAAATGTAAAAAGATGAATGTATTGTTGATACACAGTGATTTCTATACAATACAAAAGTCACGTGATACGGTTTCATAAGTCAATGAATCATCGTGTTGTGTGTGTCTTCCTACAACGAAACCAATGTTGAAACGTTGATGCAAATGATTTCTGTGTCAATATACAACAATAGACAATAAAATCCATAAACGAAATTATAAACCAAATGGAATATATATAATTTGATAAAAAGATTTAATAGGCTTAAACTGACACTATGCTCATTTTTCCTTTGTAAAGTTGAGATGAATTGGATATACATTTTCAAAAGATTGACTATATTTATATGATAAATGAAGAATAATAGACACTTCGAAGTTCGCCATTATTTCAAGCAATACAAAACCCCGTAGTAGTCTGTATCTTAACCAAAAAATCTTTTTTTGCCTAATTTTGTTTATATTTGAAGTGTTTATTTTTTTCATCTTAGGAATTGTTTTGTTAAAATCTTATTTTTAAATCTAGAAGTAATTATGTAGAAGTTATGTATCATTCTTCTGATTGATAGATCCTTACTCTGACCTTTCATTTGAATAACAATAAATTTACCCACAAACATTGACACGTGCTCTTGCTCTTTTGTTAACAAATATGTTGTGGTGAAATTCTTACTGTATCCACTAATCTGATAATTAGAATTGGACAGGTCAGGGATCTATGCATTATGCAAATGAAACGGATAATGACGTTAAACAGTTCAAATCGTCAGTAATTCTCAAGTGACTCGGAAAACTTTACTGTGATCTGTCATTTTCCTGGTCATTTAAATATTGAATTCAATTCATACAGTTTACTTCATACAGACTGACCCAAAACGGAGTATGCGACTTTACTTTTCTTGTTTAAAACACAACAATTACAATCAGCAACCTGGTGGAAATGAAAAGATAATTCATACGAATCTTTGCAATCTAAATTTCCAGGTTCTGTATCGTGAATACCAAACATAATATACAGTTTAACAAACTAGAATGCCACTTGACCTTTCTCATTTAAACACAACGCAGTATCAATCAGCAGTCAGTTGGAAGATAAAAGATAATTCAAACAAAGCTTTGCTTACACAATTTCTAGCTTATTCTTGAATTGAATATCAATCATAACAGTCAAACAAATAAGAAAGCTCTGAATCACAATCAGACATTATTGATAGAAAACATAAACCGAATTGTTTAGTTGCATTTGATTTTCACGATGTCATCAGTTGGTATTTTCTCCACTATGTAAGCCAATCTGCTTTGTCTTGCAATTTCATTTGGTCGGATATCAATGGCCTTTTGGAGTTCGTGAAGAAAATCATTAGGCAGCTCGTTATCATAGTGGACTTCAACCCATGGTGAGCCTCCAAGTAAATAGTAACAGAAATATTAAATAAATTTATAATATATGAAAAATAAAAGCACATACACCAAAATTACATTTGTGGTATGAAAGATTAAGTAATTACAACTTCATAGAAAAGTATCATTTCTGACGAATAATGTAAGCATTGTGTGATAGACTTTAGCGATCAATTCTTCAGATATCCTCCAATAAAATACAATCAATTGCAACATTCAATTTGAATAAATAAGGGTTAACAACGTGAACAGCAAGTTAGCCTTTCAATATTAAAATTCTTACACTTACCACAAGCAATTTTCTTCCCAACGTGTGTTTGCAGAACGAGTCCAACAGCAGGGTTTATAACGTCGCCAGGATTAATCCGATTGGCTCCTAATTCTGCGGACAGCTTTCCGCATTTCATTGCATCAATTCCGTGTACATAACCTATCATATCAAACTGTCAACGTCAGTAAGAGAAATTATAGTTGGTTCGTAGTTATTTGGATTTTTTTTACGAAAATTTTGAAAAAATATAAGTTACTATTATAACAATTACATTTTACATAAAAGGAAATTGAATAGTGATTTACAAAGCACGTAGAATAAAACCTCAGTCTGTTACAGCGAAATTGGATAAAATTCTACAACGGGAAACTTCTCATGAATGCTTTAAAACTAAATCTATTTTAATTACTTGAATCATTATTTGGAGGACTTCCTTTTAAACAATATATGCGTGATAAATGGTTCAGTGCGCAAACTAGAAAAACTCTTGTAGATTGCCAACATTTTCTGAGGTTTACATGACGACAGGGCTCATAAGACTAAGAACATCAAAACATTTTGCAACCTCATTATTTTTGATCCGATGCATTTCAAAGTATCTATTGTTCAAAATAAAATAAACATATGTACATTTCTAACATTTCGTTTAAACGTTTTAACATTTTAGATTATTCAAAACTACCTTCAGTTTCGGCTTTGAGTTGTTCGGTGTGTTCAGATTGAGGTAATAATGTGGAAATATCAATCCCTTTTTCACAGAGTTTGTCGGCTAGTTCTGGCGTTACGCCCTGTTCCTTAAGCATGAGTACAAAATGTTTAATGGCTGTTCCATTCTGTAATGTAGTGTCGATCATGTCATATGCTTCACCTAAACTTGGTGCCTTTTTAACACTAACCAACAGTTGACCTCCTATTAAAGTAAGGTAAGGACATTTTTATAATTAAACATTGCATAACTATATAGAAATTTGGAGCTATCATAATATCAGATTAATGACAATACTTGCACGTCTGTTTGTTACTTAAATAATCTGCAGCTCTTTTCACAAAAATATTACGACAAATTTCTATCGTTAAAAGAAATCTGAAGCTTACGATAGATCCACTTTTTACGAAATATCTTAAAACATTCTTAAAGTGCAAAAATCGTCGTTTTTTACGATAGGTGTACCACATTCGTAAGTGATTTTTTTATATCTAAACAGAACAAAAACACAAAGAATGGAAAGAGAAATATGTATGCAAATATTATGTTGAAAATAAACCAAATTAAATTAGAATTATTTTTAAATAAATATTGTAACGCAATGATATGATGACGTCATAACGGAGAGTGCTAAAATAGTTTATATGGCATATGTTTCTATGGTAGGATACTACGTCATTGCGACTTCTGAAGATAAAAACATATCTTATCTTCGAGTTGGATGGTCACAAAAATACTGTCGGAATGGGTATTTTGGAGGTGCGCGATTACATTGATTGAGGTGATCTTGTTACCTAGAATTTTTGAAACCTACCATTTTGTATTGTGTATTTTGTTGTGTGTTCGATTTCACTGCCAGCATATACAATATGCACTTATTATTAGTTAATACCTTGGCAATAACGTAGTAAACTTTTTTCTGAATCACTTAGACTCATATATGATTTGCATTCAAGATAAAAAGTTTGAAAAAGCTTTTTCTTTTAAATGTATTTTTAAATTGTTAAGGATAACATTATTGTGTTCAGGACATAATTATATCAAGCTCTTTGAAATAAACTTATACATGTAAAGTGCATCAACATATCAACATCAAACGAACGTTGTTACAAACGCTTTTTTATCGGAAGATTTATCTTAAGTGAATTTTTATCTCTAGGTAAAATTTTAATTTACGAGTTGCATTGTGAAAATGACGTCACTTACAATTTTCGTAAGGCAAAATTAGAAAAGATCGTAAGATCATTTGTGAAAATGTCTGCAGATTTTCAGCTGCTTATGAACATGAACTAATAAAAGCCACAAAGCGGAAATAATTTAATCATTACAAGAATAATAACACGGCTTGTATTATTTCCCTTGAACAAGATTTGTCCTTGTATCTTCTTATGATGTTGTTGAGGATAAAGCCAATGTAGTTACAAATATTTTTGAATATTTATAATTATATTCAACATGCACATAAATATTTACTATTGTAGTTGTTTGTACGTATTATTTATTACAATACCTAAATATTTAACTAATTCGATCAGATCTTCTGGCCCTTCTCCTTGGAGACATTTTATAGATTCAGCCACCTCAAGAGCGTTCCCAATCGCGTTACCAAGAGGAGAGTTCATGTCAGTAATTAAGGCAACTGTTTTGACACCCAAACTGTTTCCTGCTTTGACCTAAAAGAAATAACATGAAAAAGACATTTTTAAAAAAAAACTTTGAAAAATGATGCATTAGTGTATGTAGGTACATTTGTTTTTCATGGATTTATTGTTCGTTTACTTTGAATCTGTTTTCCATCAACGCCGCGGGTTTGAATCCCAAAAAGGACCTTGGATTCTTTCATGTGAAAAAGCAATCCAGATGAATGACAGGGGGTTCAACTGCTCTTTAAGGTACCCATTCATTCCTAATGTAATGCAGGTAGGGAGACCTTAGCGTCTCTGTCAGAACTATTAATTAAGTTGGAATTGCCAAATTTTGAAGTATCGATGACTGATTTATATTGCATCATTATTATGTTTCACCGTATACTAGACTTTGGTGTTTAAAAGTCACAAATATCTTTTACTAAAGTTTTATACTCTACGTTTTAATGATCACAAATAATTCTGTTAAAAAAATGACACAGTTTACCATTTTTTCAGATAAGTTTATTGCAACGTCTGTTGTTTTGCAGAAAGCCCCTATTCCAAATTTGACATCTAGAGCCAATGCTTCAGGTGACTCAACAACTTTTTTTGAAATGATTGATCCTGTAAGGATTTAAGTGTCTTTTTTTCTTAAAATATGTTGTAAATGCTTTTGATCTTAATTGCACTGCGTTAAATGATTTAATATATCCGTAATAACCCAGAACAATCGTAATTACACTGCTCGACTTATAGCAATTTTCATTCTTGCGACATACATTGACTCAATTCTATGACGTTATATAAGACTGTATATAATTCAACAATGTTCTTGTTGTATTATATGTTAAAGATGCGAACATATGGCGCAGCAGAACAAAACAAAAACAACAACTGGAACTTGATGGTTATAAATGTATATTTGATATTGATTCGATTGAAATAGTGACACAATTGGATGGATTGTTTGTTTAGTTTGACAGCGCACCAACACAATCTAGGTGATAATTACGGCACTGAAAAAGAAAATATGGTTCTGGCAAACCTTGGGTGTTACGAATTTTTAAGCAACACGAGTCAAATGTTCTTATGCCCACTCAAGTTATTGATCAGTCACGGATTTTTAATAAGATGTTACTGTGACCTCTAATCTAGAAGATTTCAATAGCCGGTCATGGAAACTGTCCCTACCTTCTTCGTAGTGCAAAATGTCACTGTGATCTTTGTACAAATGGCCTAAGAATCAATAGTGACCATTAAAGAATTAAAGAACTAAAGAATTAGTACGTGAAACAAAACAGGACGTACAAACGGACCTCCCAATTACATTTAGCTAGCAACTTTTTAGTGGGGCCATAACATTAGTCTGCCACTCATATGAAGTCGAATCTTACCCGTAATTAGTCCATGCTCATTTACTGTTTTAGTTTCGTCTCGTAAAGCGTACAAAATTTTGTCAGCAGGTACAAGCTGACTTGTTTGGCTAACAATACAACATCCAGCTCTCCTCAATATTCGCAACATGTCTTCTTCTTCCTGCATAACTTTGAAGCCTGGGATAGACTCAAGTTTGTCTAACGTACCACCTGTGTGTTCAAGGCCTCTACCTGATATCATTGGTACCTAAAAACATCAAATAACCATAATCAATTTAACGTTCTTGCTTAACTGGCTATCGTTATTGTAAATGTTGTTGACTATAACTTTACTAAGTTAACTCTTCTTTACTAAAATCTTCTTTTTTACTCCATATATAATTTTTCTCTGTACATTCCTTCGATACAATACAGTGTACTAAACAGGACAAGTGAAAACCCTATTTTGGGCTTTAACCCAATTCAATCAATAGTGAAGCCGACAATTAACCGTAAATGAGATACCTCCAAAGATTTAGGTTAAGGGATTTGGTTATTTCCGTGACTTGTGTGAACAACATGGTTACATATCAAGTATTAACAACACAATCACACCCGATCAAATAGACATTTTAGCAGTTGTAAAACATAAAACGTTAATAATCATAATGTTACAGTGTCAGGAAATTGCTTCTTCACGCAACCAAACTCCAAACCTATACAATTGTTCATAATACTATTGACTGACTACAATCTAGTAAGTTTTAAGTGTTTCAAAACGTTAAATGCTTTCAATATATCTCACACTTGGCTGTTTTCTTTTATACACCATGACATGATAAATAGCCATCTGTTCACTTTATCGAAAAGGAGCTTTGGTAAACTATGCGGATTAAATACATGTAAAAAACTTGTAACTGATTGATACTTATATAAATGTTGGGGCATAGTTGTATCAGAAGTTGCTCAGCAGACCATACTCTCACTGAATATCATCTTTAAATACCAGGACAATATAGAAGTTGTATGGTTTCGTGAAACTCTATAATATGGAGTATAAAACAAACATGTGATAAGTAAGAAAATTTATTGCCTTAACAAGCATACCTTCAGTCCACACGCTGCAAGTACAGGTGCAAGAACTAAGCTGACCTTGTCACCAACACCACCTGTACTATGTTTGTCTACAACTGTCCAATTGGCAGGCCATCGCAGAGTTATTCCAGAATTAATCATTGCTTCTGTGAGATGTAAAGTCTCTTCCTCGTTAAGCGTTTTGTCACAGATCGCTTTTAACATGTCACCTTTCAATATTAAATGGTTCTCTATTTATATAAATGTTTTGTAACTATTTAAATTATTTAATAGTTCAAAGTAAATGTGCTAGCTACCGCGAAGTTATTGTGGGCATTTCACTTCAGACGGTGTTGTATTACAAATACATTCTAAAAAATATGACCGGCGTATTTGATTATAGCACAGACCAACAACTTTATCCATAAGGTGTAGTACTGTAAGTATATCATCATATATACATTGTACATATCAACTTAGTACAGTAACAGTTTAACCACTTCTCTTATGGAATGACCTTCAGTTATTTAAATCGGACTTTAGATGTTAGAATTAGTGGGGATTCCATAAATACAATTAAGATTCATTTGGTGTTTTTTTTTATCTAAATTCTGACATGTAATCGTACGTCAAATTGATCTTGTGTAAATTGAATTATTAGTGAACCGACAGTTTCTATTAACAATGATTACTGTGAACTAAGTAAAAATTTTGAAATGCATATAACTGTGTGAATCTTCTGTAAATAATACCGCAAAAACACCGTAAATATATTTAAAACAAAGAACCCGTTTTTTACAATATTCAATCAAATTTAGGATATTATTAATCAATTTTGTAAAGAAGAACTTTTAAGTAATTTAAATACGTTTAAAATGTATTCAAATACAAGTATTCCAACGTATCTTTGCCCCAGAATCGTGGAATTTAAAACTTGATACAGACATTTATAACTTATGAATTGAGATTACGTCTCCTAATATTTTTATAGACATGAATTCTTATATGGAAACACCCCCCTTCCTGCTTAATATTTTTATAACCTTATTATTAATATTTACATTATGTCAGTAAAAACATGTTTTAACAACATTATTGTTCTTTTACAAGCACATTGAACTAGGAGCATGCAATTAATTGACATTATTTTTTTTTGAAATGTAACATTTTTTAAAGGCACATTATGCCTTAGAAATGAATATATTTTTTTCTTCTTTAGAAAGGGCAAGTGAGTTTTACAACATTTAAATAATAGTGTAATGGCATATTAGATTCTTATCACCTGAGGGAAATGGTTCTGTATATGAGATAAATTGTCAAAAATGTACCAAAATGTACAAATAGTATTTTGTATATAACATTATTAAGATCCCTTTTGACGACCTATAAGTGGGTGATACATGTATGACAATCCCATTGTTACCAAAATGAATTGAGTTAAGGTTAATTATACATGTAATATAAATATTTCTACACCACTAAAATGTATAGTTGTATCAATTATCATACTAAACTGATTAGATTATTATTGTTTCATTCATATCAATTAGTGCTGAAGTGTACAGGATATTCCTGCACTTCACAAATCTTGTTACAAATATCTTCATAATCTTAATTTTGATTGTTATTTTAATCACTTGGTTTACAGAAACAACTCAAACTACAGACACCGTTGCTTCTTTTAAAATGTTGTTGATAATTATATCTTACTTATTATTTGATGTTGGAATGTAACAATTGTACACAATATAAAAAAAAACTACATGCATGGATGGAAAATCAACACGGAACGTCCTTTATTATTCTTTTTATAGTTAACTCACTATTTTCATAATCTCTTAAATTTCAGGTATAATGTATCATAATTATGATCCAAATCATTAAACCATCATACGTTATGACAAATCCAATTTAGAAGGTATCATAAATGTTTGTTTGTCTAGGCACAGACATTGAAACAAAAAAAACGTGTATATATTTGCTTCATTTTGCAAACATTCATTAGAAAGTTGCCCGAGTTGCCCAAAAATATACTTTGAAAGCAAATATTGTATTGATATTTATTTAACTCTGACTTGAGTTTTATTATTTGAATTCTATGAAATCTATTGTAAGAACTTTATTAAACTTTATCTTAACAAGTAATACCAGATCGACCAAAAAGTCTAATCCATGTAGAAGGCCATTTATCATTTAAAACTTCCTCGATTGTTAAAGTTGAAAGGATTTCAAACAAACCGCTTTAAATCCCACTTAGGCCAAGTTTAAGAAATAATTTATCAATCAAATTGAAAAATGAAAAAAACCTCTCACATACGTGCGCATCGATATTTAAGAAATAAGACAAAGTATGCACTATTATATCAGTCATTTAAAATATTCTTGAAAGCGGAAATTCTTTTTTTTTTCAGTGTTATTTCAGTGTAATTCTTTTTTATTTTTTGCTCGATGTTTATTAATCCTTTTCAGTGTTAGCTAGCTAATTCTATATTCATGCATTAAGCCGAATGTATATAAATTATAGTTCAGTTCTTTCTGACAAAACTTATATGTACTATTACAACCGTTAAACCCTTTAACTTCAATCATGTCAATCAAGCTTTTAGTGTATCGTACTATTTGTTCATCACTTACATAACATCATGATCGGTAAATCTTATTTCTCTTTCACTACATGCTGAAAATTCTTTATTCATTGATTCAGGGTATTATTTGTAAACATGCAAAATTATGAATTTACATACCTAATTGTTTATTGCACAATATATGCAGTTATTATTATACTATATCTTAAATGTGCCTTATTAAACAATCGAGATTATTTTAGGGAATTATTTTCTGGCAACCGTAAGGACAATTTTACAGACTAGTGTTGCCCGGGGTCAGTGGTATACTTCTGTGAACAGTGTAAAGATATTACATGCTCCTCTAAAACATTGGTATGTGAACATCTTAGAAATTGTGATCTTTCTTTAATACATAAATCAAACATAAACATCCAAGAAAGGATCGATGCTAAAAATATCGTGAGTGACCAAAATAGTACGTTTATAAATCAAACCCCCAGTGCATTTCATGGAAACTTGAAAATTGGATCGCTTAATGTGTGCGGCTTAAAAACTAGGCTTAAGTATCCTGAATTCATAAACATGATAGAACAGTATTCAATTTTGTGTGTAACTGAGACTAAATTAGATAAAAATGACATTATATCTGTACCAAATTATACTTTCTTTTCCAAACCAAGGACTGAAAGTTGTAAACGAAAATCTGGCGGAATTGGTTTTTTCGTACATGATTCTTTTGTTAAATATATAGATATTCTAGACTCTAAAAATGAGTACATTTATTGGTTAAAAGTTAACACTTATATAGACGGCATAGTGCAAAATATCATCATAGGTTCCATGTATGTACCGCCAGAACAATCACGCTTCTTTAATGATGACGAGTTCTATGATTTCCAAAATGATATTTCAGTTAAATGCAGTAAATACGAAATTGTATTGATAACTGGAGATTCAAACGGACATACTTCTACATTACCAGATAATCTTGAATTTGATGACTTTTTATCATCCTATCTTAATGTTGATGATGCTACTCTAGATTCATTTAATCAAATTAATAAGCTGGAAAAATTAAATATTCCACGTGATCGATTATCTCAGTGTAGTAAAATTAATAATAATGGTAAGAAATTTCTCGAAATTTGTAAAAATAACAATTTGTTTATTCTAAATGGTAGATTTAGTTGTGATAAGTCAATAGGAAAATGTACTTTTAGAGGTAAAACTGTTATTGATTACTCCATTGCTACCATAAATTGTATATTGTTGTTAAATGAATTTGATATAATCGAGCTTGATTCCCTGTTCTCAGACGGGCATTGTCTACTTTCAATGAATATCCTTATCCCTATGCCAGAATTACCCCATGTTTCACCCAATGAACCCAGCACTAGGAAATCACAAAATAAATTGCCAAAATGGGATGATAGTAAATCCAGTGAATTCTTGGAAAATATTGATTTACAAGCTATGCAAGAGTTGGGATTTATGTTAGATAACAAAAATTCTGACCAAAACAATAAACATTACATCAATACAGTTGCTGAGAAATTTTCAAAGATATTTCTTAACTCCGCAAATATAACATTTCAACCATCTAAAACAGGTTTCACCAGTCGACCTTCCTCAACTAATGTTCAAAATGGTCATAAACAATGGTTTGGGCCTCAGTGCAAACGTGCACGAAATTTATACCATAAGGCTCGTAAATCCTACCAGTTAAACAAAAATAGCATGAATAAATCTATGTTACAAACTGCTAGTAAATACTATAATCAAACCATGAATATCTTTATATGTAAACACAGGTATAATAATGAACGTAAATTGCTTGCGCTTAGCTCCAATCAACCAAAAGATTACTGGTGTTATCTAAACCAGTTCTCACGAAAGAAAACTGAAACGCCCCCTGATATTTCAGAATTTTTCAATTTCTTTAAAGACATAAACTCTCAAAAAGATGAAAACGAAACTTTATCAGGCAACTCTGAAATCCCCAACCCTTTAAATAATAATGCACTTAATAGAGAAATCTCGGATGAAGAAATTTGCAAAGTTATTTCAAAATTAAAAAATGGCAAGGCTTAGTCACAATTTGATAGTATGTATATTAAATGAATATATCAAATACACAAAATCAATAATGGTTCCATTTTATCGTCAGTTTTTTAATATGATTTTAGACTCTGGAGTCATGCCTGACTCGTGGTTAGTAGGAGCTATTAAGCCAATTTATAAAAACAAAGGATCCCCTTCCGACCCAGGTAACTATAGACCAATAACTATTTTGAGTTGCCTCGGAAAGTTATTTACCTCGGTTTTAAATGAGAGAATAAATGAATTTCTGGCCGAAAACGACCTTTTGAACGAGAATCAAGCTGGATTTAGAGCTAAATATTCGACCAGTGATCATATTTTTGCACTTCATTTTCTTGTCTCTAAGCTACGCGCAGAAAAGAAAAAAATATTTTGTTCATTTATTGATTTCTCTGCAGCGTTTGATTCAGTTTGGCGCGCAGGTCTATGGAGGAAACTCTCTGATATTGGCATTACAGGAAAAATTCTTTCTGTCATCCAAAATATGTACTCTAATATTAAATCTTGTATAAACTCCGAAGGTCAAACATCTGCTTTTTTCTCAAGTTCTATAGGTCTAAGACAAGGCGAGAATTTATCGCCTGTGCTCTTCTCAATCTACCTAAATGACCTAGAAGTAGCCCTTAATAAGGACAATAATGGAGTCACAATTGACGCTACAACCCAGTTTTTAAAAATATTAATATTACTGTATGCAGACGACACGGTCGTAATAGGCGAAAATCATGAATCATTCCAGTCGTGTCTCAATGATTTCCACAAATATTGCGAGACTTGGAAATTAAATATAAACTTTCAGAAAACTAAGGTAGTTGTCTTTGGCACAAATAAACCCAAGTCATACACTTTCAATAAAAATGGTCAATCAATCGAAACAGTAACGGAATATAAGTATCTAGGTGTTATTTTCTCTAGCTCTGGTTCATTTCTTGCGTGTAGGAAACACCTAGTTTCACAAGCAAACAAAGCCATGAATGTTCTATATATGAGAATAAACAACCTTGACCTTCCCTTAGACCTACAAATAAAGTTATTCGACCATACAGTGCTCCCCATTCTTACAAATGGAAGTGAAATATGGGGGTTCGAAAATTTAAATATCATAGAACAAGTCCATTCCAATTTTTTACGCAAGATTACTTATACCAGAAAAAGTACTCCTAGGTACATGTTATATGCTGAACTTGGGCGCTATCCTATCGAAATAAACATCAAATCTCGTATGATAATTTTTTGGAATAAACTTATTCAGTCTAAGGAATCAAAGATTTCATATATGTGTTATAAGTATATGATACAGTCTAACCAAAACTTTAAATGGATCAACTATGTTAAAAGTATACTTAACTCTACAGGTAATTCTATTCTATGGTTAAATCAAAATAATATCCAAGCTAAAAGTATTAACAAATTGGTTAAACAAACATTAATCGACCAATATAAACAAGAATGGTTCTCGCAACTAGAAAACTCGCATAAAGGTAGACTCTATGGTAGTTTTAAAAACAGTTTTAATCTAGAATGTTATTTAAATATTCTCCCCCACCCCCTTAGGTTATCTCTTTTGCATTTCCGAACTGCTAACCATCGTTTCCCAGTAGAAACTGGTCGTTGGAATCAATCTTTTAAACCTCATGAGCAAAGAAAGTGCCAAAAATGTAACTTGGGGGACATTGGCGATGAGATGCATTATCTGTTAATATGCCCTTTTTTCAGAACTAAAAGAAGACAGCTAATACCAGAGAGATTCTATATTAGACCAAATATACTGAAATTTAAGGAACTACTTAAAACAAATGATAGCCAGACCCTATCAAACCTTAGCTTATATGTTAAATGTATCATGAAAAAAATTAACGATCAATAACAATTACATGAACTGATGTATTTTACATACCTGGTGATTGTTAATCCTAATTATCCCCATCTTTATGTGTTTTTTTTTTCATTGTCATTACAATTACACATTTATGAATAGACTGTCTCAATGCAATTTTACAACCGACCAATGAAACTTTACACATGTTCTATTTATAGATATGTCACGGAAACCCCGTGCTGCAATGTTATTGTTATTGTTAGGTTTTTCCCAGGTCAGCTCGGTTGTACATAAGCCAAAATTAAAATTATTGGTTACTTCATTCATAAATTTACTGTATGTTCACTGACTTTTTCCCTTTTTTTTATTGTTGTTAGCATATTAAGAACTCAAAACTATGTTTTTTCACCGCTTTCAAATAAATACTTCAAATATTATCCGCTTTCCCCATCGAATACAGAAACACTCAAACCCAAAACATAATAAATTAGAATATTTTTGATCATGTTGTTACCCATACTTATTATTTATGCTACTATTCGTTCACATGTTATTGCTTGATACATGTTAAATGTGTATTATGTAATCTGTGACAATTGAAAATAAAGTGATTTGTATTGTATTGTATTGTATTGTATTGCAGATAACGGAGTTTATTTTATAAAAATAAAAAATAACTAGTATTCGATTAGTATACAGAAATACACATGAACTATCCACGTTATCTTTGGAATACACGTAACAATTTCAAACAGGTAATAGGTATATACATATATATACATATACATGTGTGATTTGTTCTGTCATATAACTGGTAGATATCTTTACGTGTTATAGGACCGATTTCTCTCCGGGACAATTCTTCTCTGGTTAAATACTATGTATGTATTAGTTAGTAAAGACATCCGTAAAGATTACATTTACACAGAGCAATGTATTTTTAAAAAGCTTGTAACATCAATGTCAAACAGTTATTAAAATATATTTTGAAAACTTAAATAAGTAAATTAACGAAAAACGGTGTATTTTACAATTATAAGTAAGTATATACACTAGAAGGAAGCATTATCTCCAACATATTTAGATATGATTACTTATTTCATTTTATGAGTACAACCATCTGTCAATCGTTTTGATCTTGGCATTTTATACAGTACTAACGGAAATGTCTCTGCAGAAGAATTTCCAGAACCCGCATTAATGGTTTAATTTAGCAGTCAAAATAAAAAATAATAATAAAATAAAAAAAATAATAAATTTAAAAAATGGCGTATTATTTTCATTTACTTTTGCTTCCAATTTGGATATTTTAATAAGTCAATGTCTGAAGACATGCATTTCTCCCAAAATAAGAGTCGGAAATCGGACTAGAAATTCACTTAGGGAATATAATTATGAAGATTCTAGAAGGTCATATTAAGTTTAAAGTACAAACCTATATCCTCTTTCTGTACTGATACATTGGTAGCATTATTACCACCTTGTCCCTTATTTTGTTCGACTTGTGTTGCACATGTCACGAAATATTCTATCTCTTTCTTACATAATGTTTGTTTCTGTTTCGTCTTGCTTACAAGATCCTTAATGGAAGATGGCTCGGTACTCCTTTGATATAGAACACGCTCCATTTTACTATATGCTTTCGAAAGCAAACGTTCTGTTATAAATTATTTTATTTTATAATTACAATACAGTAAATTAGAATAAAGATAATTAATGATAAAGAAAAAAATATTTTCTAACAAAATATTTGAATTGAGCTGGACCAACTTCCGAGAATACTTGTCAAATGTAAAAAAACATTATGGACAACTGTATGTTTGAATAAAGGGGGAGGGTTTTACGTGCAATTATTTATGATGATACTCTATCTCTTTTTTACATAATGTTTGTTTCTCTTTTGTCTTGCAAACAAGCCCCTTAATGGAGAATGGCTCGGTACTCCATTTATCCATTTTACTATATGCTTTCAACATCTGTGCTCTTTCATAAAACTAATTTAAATATACTTACACATGTATTTATTTAAGGCTGTGCATTACAAATTAATGATTATTTGACTGACAAATACGCTAATAATAATAATAATAAAAGCATTACCATTAAAGACATCCGTAGAGATTACATTTACACAGAGCAATAAATTTTTAAAAAGCTTGTAACATCAATGTCAAACAGTTATTAAAATATATTTTGAAAACTTAAATAAGTAAATTAACGAAAAACGGTGTATTTTACAATTATAAGTAAGTATATACACTAGAAGGAAGCATTATCTCCAACATATTTAGATATGATTACTTATTTCATTTTATGAGTACAACCATCTGTCAATCGTTTTGATCTTGACATTTTATACAGTACTAACGGAAATGTCTCTGCAGAAGAATTTCCAGAACCCGCATTAATGGTTTATAATTAGGGAATATAATTATGAAGATTCTAGAGGTCATATTAAGTTTAAAGTACAAACCTATATCCTCTTTCTGTACTGATACATTGGTAGCATTATTTCCACCTTGTCCTTTATTTTGTTCGACTTGTGTTGCACATGACACAAAATACTCTATCTCTTTCTTACATAATGTTTGTTTCTCTTTTGTCTTGCAAACAAGCCCCTTAATGGAGAATGGCTTGGTACTCCATTTATCCATTTTACTATATGCTTTCGACAGCAACCGTCCTGCTATAATTTATATTATTTCATGATTAAATTAAAGTAAATTAGAACAAAATTTGATAAAGAAAAAAAAACTTCTAAAACAAAATATGACTGAGCTGAAAAAATGTCCTAGAATACTTGTCAAATGAAAATAATATACATGGCAATCTGTATGTACAAATAAGGGGTTTTTTTTGCTTATCTATGTTTACGTCATGTCTGCAAATTGCCTTTAGAAGCTGTTGACCGACAAGTCAATATTAAATCCCTCCTTTAAATTTTGTCGTAACAGCTAAACCCAATAACTGTTGAATATTCTAAATATTATAATGTTACCTACATGCATATTAACATAAACATTGCGTAAAAACAGTTAACGTTAAAATTTTATACATAAACATTTAACATAACATAACATAACATAAATTTATTGCATAAAACTCTTTTACAAAGTTTATAGCAAGCAATATATAATTGCGGCAAGTACAATTGTTAACCGTTAAGGCTAAATATCCTTAAATAGATAAACAACTTCAAAACTGTTTTGCACCGTTAGTTTTACTTTCATAACGTCAAGTTTTGTCATGTGGTCAACGTTTCATTTTGCATGACAATACATCTGTGCTCTTTCATAAAGTTAATTTAAATATACTTACACATGTATTTATTTAAGGTTGTGCATTAGAAAAATGATTATCTGACTGACAAATACGCTAATAATAATAATAATAATAATAATAATAATAATAAAAGCATTACCAAAATTCCGTGAGTCATATGCGACCAACAGCACTAATTTACGCAGCACCTCTCTATATTTTGCCATTTTTGATCCTGCAAGATTGCTAGTCTTTCTTCTGAGATTTGTGACCTCCTTATAATCTCCCAAATTATCCAGAAAAAAAATCTGATTAAAGTATATATATTATCACATACATCAAATAACATGTCTGTTTAAACACATATATCTTTTCAAACAATAACATCATATTTATATTTAACAGATAATACGTAAGAAACCCAATTACGCAATCTTTGATAGCTGGATCTATTTATACATTGGCGACACTGGTGTTGTTTGTTTTTACTTTTATAGGTTTATTCAAAACTCACATCCTGTTGAGAAGTTTAATCTTAAAAACTGTTAAGTTAAACTTCATTCTATAAATTTTTGAAAAAAGAAATTCTAATATGTCATTTTTTAAATGTATACTGGAGACTCATTATTTAGTTGGAATCAGTATAAGCTTTTGGCATAAAAGACACTACAAACTAAATACTCTATGTAATCTTCACTTTTGTACATTGTTGAATAATTCAGTGTCTGTTATACTATACTGCTTGGACTTAAATCAATGATATTCCAACTTACCTTCACAATTGATAAATGACATTGACAATGTTGTAATACTCGGATTTAAGGGTTATATAATTATTTTGATCATATACATGTACATATCATATAATAGCGGAGATAATCAATGTATATAAATATTGTTATAACTGTGCTTTACATATAAAATCGTTCTATAAATACTTATCGTGCAATCACTGATTTTACATGACGTGTATGACATTCCTTTATCTAAAAGTGGAAAGGATTAAGTATTCAGTGGTTTTAATTTCGGCAAGAAACTACACCTTTTTCAATAAAAAATAGAAAATGTGGCCAAAATCGATAAACCTTCTAATTAAACAATCTCTTATTTATCTTTTTAATAAAGTACGAAAAAGAAAGTAGATGTCAACAGGTGATATCTAAATATTTTATTCAAGCACTCTGCAAAATAATAATGTTCTGCAAAATGTGTGTTTATAAACTTTGTGTTTGTGAAAGGTGATCGCAGGTTATGAAGCCAACATATCAGAGACAAGATCTAAGACAAGACAAATTGAAAATACATCTTAAAAGTGATAAGGCAGTTTCAGAAAGAATTCAAGTAGATATATTGAAATCACAAAACTAGATGAATAGGTGAATATGAAATAAAATTCGCTAAAATGTAGCCCAACGTTACAAAGTGGTATTCTGTTTCAAAAATTATTTCAATTAAAACATAAAGTACAAAAGAAGGCTTTGCATTATGACCGTTAAGTATCATTCCGGTTTAGAAAACAGGAAAAAAAGAGAAATCAAAATGGTATTTAGGGCTTAATTGACCTTTAATGACATGTTTTTTTCGGATTACACAAACATGTCTTTATTTCAATATCGTATGGGGTCGAGTACAAAAATCAAATTATATTACACAATCAAGGTTGTTTTCTTATAAATTTGATCATGTCGTAAAGTATTAGATAATCTTAAACACACAGCAAATTGACAGGTTTTCATTAAACAGTGACAATCGACAGCAAATAAATGCTATATTGTACAATTTGCGATACTTAAACCTTTCCGGAACAAACTGAATCCGTATAATTTTTTTTTAAATACCGGGGACACAGGAAAGAAACTTGTTTTATATTGAAATAACTATAACCCCACCCACAACCTACAAAACATAAAATTAACAACAACAACAACAAATAACACAAAAATTTCTGCGATATATTTAGAGTTAACTAATAACAAAAAGTATTTATTTTTTTATATAACATAGATATTACAACTGATCATTATGTTTACTACTTAAGTACATGTACAAAGAATCAATAACAACTGTTCAGAACTTTGACAGTTGTATTTAAAAAAAGAAATGTGTGTTTGTCTGATTTTAAAAGTTGCAAATGATACATATTTGTGGCAAACATGCACAAAAGTTTGTCTATTTTACTATTATAATTATTATAATTATGATTATTAACATCATCATCATCATCAACATCAACATCATCATCATCATCATCATCATTATTATTATAATTAGTATTTGCAATTAACAATTTATAAACGTTGCAAACATGGAGTTATTATCTGAATGGTAAAAGGTTACCATTTTTACATATCGAAGTTAATATATATTTTGAAATTTGAAACAGAGCAATATCTTTTCAAATGACTTAACGTAGGTCGAAGATACATGTACAACTGCACGTGTAGTCATAAGAACAATCAGGACAGTTTACATTGTTTGAAGTTAACAGTGTAACCAAATACTAAATAGATAAATAAATTAAAAAAAACAACATCAACTATAACTGAAACAATGGATGTACATTTTTGATGATATGATTAAATAGTATGGAATGTATGTAATATAAAGTAGTTCAAAATTCATTAAATAATCTTTAACACCTTAAATTAAAATTAAAGATCTAAACATTATTTATTTGAGTGAAAAAATGGAGACAGCTTTCTGTTACATTATTATTATTAAAACTGTTTTGTTTGTATTCACCATTTGTAATACGTTCTCATGTCTTCTTAAATAATGTTATTTGTCCGTGCTTAGGTGAGACATATAGACAAAACGTATTTAATTATGCAGAGTTAATTGTAGCAGAGATACAATTATCTTTTTTTCGAAAAACTAAATATCAAAGCGGACAAAATACAATCGGAATAACAAGTATTTAGTAGTGATTTCTTTACATTCTTAACAAAGAAAATGTATAGTATAGCGATACAATATTGATAACAATGATATGAATATCGATCTTTCCTGATCGACCTCGAAATATGATACGTTGCACTGCATATTTGCACAGTACGTCATTTTCTTAAAGATAAAACTACCAAACCAAACGACCTTTTCATAATGTAGGTTTGGATACAATTGAATCTGATACGTATAATTTACATATTCGAACGTCAGTGTAACATCATTTTCCATGTCAATTATTGTTATATCATGCTTAGTTTCTAATTAAATTGATCCGGTTTTTTTTCGTTTTATGTATAATATAATATCTTATTCAAAACAAAGTTCACTAGGATGTCATACTCAAGACATTATTCTAAAGGCTAATAAATCAGGTGTTAAGAATGCAAAAATACGACAAAGGATTGGAGTAATGCCAGATCTATGCACATTCTAAATAAAAAGGTTGTATGGATCAATAAAGAATTTACAATGTAGTTTTACAAAAACATTTTACTTCATTATTTGTAAGTCTATAATTAGAATTTCCACGTATTTTTATTTTTTACAACGATTATGAACAGTAACAGTTACATAAAGTACATTCTTTTAGTAAGTTTTTTATTATTTGTCCAACTTTTGTAAAGTTGTGCCAAAGATTGTACGTTTAAAACGATTGCCCTAAAACATGTAAAAAACCACGATAAATGCAGTTCAACATGTTTACGGCTTTGTTAAGATTAAAAGTATCGAAACAAACCAGCCATGTTGTGCGTGTTTGAAAAAACATTTTGTCTTTATCACAATATTTAAAGGTTTGTAAAGAAGAAATACCATAAGCACTATAATTACTTTTTAGATAATTGACTATACAAATATGGACTGGAATACATGTATAAATCTATCAATAACTTAGATTTTTTTGAAATTCTTGATAAAAAAGCACAGCAATAAATAAAAGAATAAAACCACTAAATGTAGACCATTTAGTACATTTCAATTAAAAGTAACAATATTATTAAACGAGGGATTATCAAAAATAAATCGAACTGGTGCTGTCAGTTGAAGTATTTACAACCAATCACTTACACTTAATCGGAAACAATACCTATAAACTGATACTAAATCTTATCTGATAACGTAAATAGATTGTCCTCCGTAATATATTATATTCTTGGTTAACAATTGTATCAGTTGTTTTATTATTTTACTTACAAGGCTTATGGTTAAATTGTGTCAACAATTTAACAGTCACGATGCGTTTTATGTATTTTGAAATAATGACAAGTTTGTAATACATAATATAGTTTATTGCATGTGCGATAATTATACAACAATTAAGATACAGAAGGAAAGAACAGAAGTTTGCGGCATTACAGTCATCCATTCTATAACAATGCTATATGATACCGACTTGTACAGAGATATATATAGGCAGTGGATCCGACACAATCAACAATATGTGGAACACGACTTGGCCTACTTCCTGAATAAGTAAAAAGCTGCTCTATTAACGACAATGCGCTTGTTACGTCGTTAACGTCAAATTTTAAAGTTATACCGTACGCCGCATTGCTTTACATGTACATGCCAATTACAGCATAACTTTTAAGATGCTTCGATCACTTCTTCTTAACAACAATGCATCTAAACCATTGAATGATTTCCCGATCAAAAAGATTCATAGCGCTTGAAAAGATGTATCATTAACTTTTCAAAAAACGAAAGAATGATACAAAGATATTTTCATCTGGATATAAAAAATAGATAGCTGCAATTCGTTATCGTTTAATCAATAATTTACGTTTTTACAATATTCATATCGACGTTTATAATCTTAAAATAAAGAAAAATTAGTGCAGACAAACCCCCAAGGCTAGGGATTTTTTCCATCACTGATTTCATATGAAAATTTAAATAAAAAAACTTAAAGTGACATTATGCTCATATTTTCACAGTCAATCCAACTCAACTGACTATATATTTCAAAAGATTGACTGTTAAAATGGTGATTGACCCATAGTTAATATTGCAAAATGTTTAGAATAAAATTTTGATCTACCTAAAATATAAAAAGACTGCCCCGCTCTTTTATGAATTGTATGTTAAAGGAAAATCTTCATGGATATTTACGAAGAAATCGTTTGGATCCGTGCTTTGGTTATTGTTTATGTGAAATAAAATTTTTATTAAAAGGAATTATGATAAAATGAAAATTTATTTTGACTTTTAAATGTTCACTCATTTATATCCTTGGATGGGCATAATGTCACTTTAATAATCGAGATACGATATATACGTATATAGGTAAGGAAAAATCGCTTTGTAAGCTTTTTAAAATCCATAATACAAAGAAATCTATATTTAGTTTATAACCAGTGCAATTATTGAACACCTATCTATATTATGTATATCTCAATGCATTTTACA